CACCTTCCCCACAGACACCCTCCTGCCCCCCATTTCTCACCACGGGGAGCGGGGAGGGCTGACATTTCCTCCCCCAAGGCCAGTAGCCACCCAACCGCGGGGACACCTCGGCAACAGCATCCGCTGCTCCGGAGCCTTCCTGGCCGGGGACACGCGTGGGGGGCCCCCCCCCTCAGAGTTGGGGGGTGACGGGGTGACCGTGGTGCACGGTTCCTCTTCCCCTTTGGGCTGGAGAACATTGAGGTGCACGTGCGCTTGGGGACACACCAGCAGTTGGGGACATCCGGGCACCGGGGCCAGCCCTGCTGTCACCTGCACACCCACCCACCCCCCTCCTCCACCTCATTTTTTTTTTTCTGCTAAATCTGCCAGTTTGGGGAACAGAGCAAAAGCCTCTTTTTTATTATTATTATTTTTTAATCTTAATGCTCCTGGCAAGATCCCCAAGCCCGTCGCTGCCAGGTTGGGCACCCCAAGGGGACCCGGTGGCACATCTGAGTGGCCCCCCCTTCCCCCCCCCCAGCTCTGCATGAGTCCCCTGAGCTCCAGCCCTGGTGATGCTCGGCTGTGCCCCATTAAATGATTTAATTATCTTAAATTACCTGTGTAACTCGCTGTCTGATGCCATTCCTGGGCTGGATCTGTCCCTCTGGGAGCAGCCGTGGTGACACCACTGAGCAGAGCCGTGGGTCATTATCTGCTCATGGCGCTGACAGCCCCCATAAGGGGTGTGGGGAGCGTGGGGGTGGCTGAAAACATTAACCCGATGGAGCTGCCTGGGGCTGGAGGTCCCCGGAGAAAGTCCATGGAGCCCCCAGAGCCCCTGTCCCCAGAGTCGGGGTGCCAAGGGACCAGCACCCTCAAGGACAGGTCCCCAGAGCCCATGTCGCTTTGGCCCAGGTCCCCAGAGTGGAGGTCACTGCAGCCCAGCTCCCTTAAGTCCACGTCCCCAGGGTGGAGGTCCCCATAGCTTGTGTCCCTCAAGGCCCTGGTCCCCAAAGACCACATCCCCAGGGTGGAGGTCCCCATAGCTTGTGTCCCTCAAGGCCTTGGTCCCCAAAGACCACATCCCCAGAGTGGAGGTCCCCATATCCCATGTCCCTCAAGGCCCTCATCCCCAAAGACGACATCCTCAGAGTGGAGGTCCCCATAGCTTGTGTCCCTGAAGCCCTGGTCCCCAAAGACCACATCCCCAGGGCAGAGGTCCCCATAGCTTGTGTCCCTCAAGGCCCTGGTCCCCAAAGACCACATCCCCAGGGTGGAGGTCCCCATACCCCATGTTCCTCAAGCCCAGACCCCCACCAGGAGCTGCCCCATGTGCCCAGAGTGGAGGTCCCCATACCCCACGTTCCTCAAGCCCAGACCCCCACCAGGAGCTGCCAAGGGGCCAGGCAGCCCAGGACACCCTTGGGACAGGGGTAGAGAGGAACCATGACCAGCAGAGCCACCCCATCGAGCTGTGGCAAGTCCCTTGGGGGACACGGTGTGTGCCACCAACCCCCACCCCTTGGTGTCTGCGGGGTCCCACGGCTGGAGATACCTGGAAATGGGGCAGTGGCCACATCCCAGCTGGACATCCCACCCCGGGGTGGGGGGGGGTCAAGGCTGTGCCCAGCACCCACCTCAAGGACACAAACAATCCAAAGGTCTCTGGGAACATCGCCCGGGCGTTAGTCACCCGCTGGCAGGGTGGGGATGGGGCTGGCCCGGCCATGAGGGATTTACGGGCAAATCCATAGGGAATCAGCTTCCAGCCATGAATGGGGGGTGCTGAGGGTCCGGGTTGGGGGACCCCCAGCTGAAGGTGACCCCCTGGTGGAGTTTCCAGAGACCCCCCCCGGTCGGTTGTGCAGGAGAAGCAGCCAGAATCCCCGTTCCCATCACTTTATTAATTTAAAATATTACATTATTTCTGCTCGATAGAAATATATAAAATACAAATACCCGTCCCCTGGAAAAAAACCCAAAAAACCAACCCTTTCCCGAAAAGATACTTTGCTATAAAATACAATAAGTTAGCAATAAATAAGAAAGTTGTATAAATAAGTCTCTAAGCAGAGAAGAGAGGATGCCCAGGCTTGGAGTGGGCTGCAGGCACCTGGGGACAGAGCCACCCTGGCCCATTTAGGGTCTCTTGGGTGGGAAGGAACCACCTACCAAATAAAAAAAAAAGGTTTTAAATAAGGGGAGAGAGGGAGAAAATAAGTTATTGTGGCCTGTGGAGGGGGAGGTCACAGCTGGAGACCCCCAAGGTTGAGTCGGATGATGGAGCTGGGGCCAGTCCTGGGGCATTTCATGCCACGGGATCTGGTTTTTGGGATGCTGGAGCTGCTGGGACACACTGGATCCAGGCGGTCCCAGCTGGAGGAGATGGCATCAGGCACAGTGGCACTTGGTGACCAGCATGTCCTCGAAGAGGGTGGAGACCAGCCTGCCCTCGCCGTCGTAGTGCATCAGCACCATGGGGTCGTAGCCGGCGGGGACGCAGCAGGGCGGTGGGGTGGCTTTGGAGAGGGAGTGCATGCGGGCTTTGATCTGGGCGTGCATGCTGGCCGGCTTGTAGTTGTGGGGACAGGAACCTTCGCAGAACCTCATGTAGTAGCTGTTGGGGGCGATGACCCAGTCCGACCACCCGATGTCCTGGAAGGAGACCTTGAGCGACTTGAGGCAACACTTCCCATCGCTCTTCCCGCACTCCTCCTCCAACCCCCGGGCTCTCCTGGCCCCTCGTCTTGTGGTCTCATGGGTTTCCACCTCCAGGACCAGCGTCTCACCCCCCGAGGTGGCCAGCCAGGCTGAGATGTCAGCTGTGAAGGCCAGCTCCAGGCGTAGCGTGTCCTCAGGACCAGCAGCCCAGGGCTGGATGGCTGCTGTGAGGTCCAGGCTTGGGGCATCACGGTCCAGCTCTTGGCTCCGCAGGAGCTGGGGGGTCTCGTCACCCCCCCCCAGCGTGTAGATGTTGACCTGGGGGGGCTCCGAGGTGTTGAGTGGGGACATTCCAGGAGATGCCAGAGATTGCTTGAAGAGCTTCAGCTCTGCCTGCACCACCTGGAGCTGCCGGTGGAAAGCTTCAGTGCGGGAGAGGAGGAGATGGTAGCGGTAGGGACCACGGGGGTCCTGGTCTTCCTGGGGGTCCTGGTGTCCCCTAGGGTCCTGGTGTCCCCTGGTGTCCTGGTGTCCTGGAGAGATGTCCGGCCGGCGCAGCACTGTGGGGACAAAAAGGACAACTGATGTAAGAGCTGGCAAGCCACCCCACCGGCCAAAGGCTTGTGACCAGCTCCTGTCAGGCAGCCAAACCGCTGCCTCCGGGGAATCACCCAAATCCCACGGGATGTGGAAGCTGGGGGAGATCCGGGTGGGACATCCGGCTCCATCCTCAGCCCTGGATGATCACCCAAGGACCCACCCGAGGGTCTCACCGAGGGGCAGCACCTTGGTGTCCCGGGACCCATCAGGGTGACCCCCCTACCCCCCCACTTCAGCCCGAGCAGCAGGAGCCGAGTATTTCCCTAAATCACCCCAGATCCAGATAAACCCCCAAATTGGGGCTCAAGCCGGGGCTCGGGGGATGCCACATCCCCACCTCCCCTCCGCTCGCCCCCCCACTCCCAGACCCCACAGCTGCCACCGCGCTGCCGCTCGGGGCTTTCATCCCAGAATTACTGGTTTTGTGGGTTTTTTTAAGTGAAAGGGCTGGAAACGGTGGCTCCTCCCCGCTGGCGGGACAAGGGGAAGCAGCTGGGACAAGGATGACAGTGGCCACCGGGATTCATGCCCGGTCATGTCCCGGCACACGCCGAGGCAGCCGGGATGACATGCCCGAGCAGGGACACGGCGGGGGGACACACACACACGTGTGACCCCGGGGGGACGAGGGTGGTGGGATGCACGTGGAGCCGTGGTCACTTACACTTTGGGGTCAGACGATGCAGGTGCCTGGTCCTGGGCATCTCACCCTCTTCTTCCCGGCTCTGGTTCCTCATCAGCTCGGCCACTTTCTCCTGGTAGAACCTCTGAGCTCTCTGGATGCTCTCCTGGTCCAGCTGGTGCCGGATGACGGGGGGTGAGGGCATCCCCAACCTCTCCAGGATGCTCTTTTTGAGGGCTTCCAGCTGGAGCTTGTCCTCATCCCACGTGCGTGGCCTCGGCTCCGTGCCGGGGAGAAGAAGCAGGAGCTGGAGGAAGGTGATGGCAGCCCCGACATCCCGCAGCGCCCTCGGCATCGCGCCGGTGATTCCGGGGAGAGGGAAAGGGAAAGG